GATTTATCCGTAACTTGCAGTATTTTCATACCTACGGACACTATGAGACGATCCGAAGGAAATTTCGGGGAAGCAGCAACACGGACATAAGAAACTGGCCTATAGTCGTCCAGATGTACAATGAGCCAAGATTTATATCCATTTAGTGAAAGGAAGCATGTTTTTAGATTACCATCCACTACAAACCGGCCAAAAGCGAACACCTCTTTACAACCCGCCTCTTTTTTCCAACCGTCAAAGTTGCCAGTCGAAGACGCATTACTTTCCTCGCTACGGCAAGATTCTGGTTACTGTATTGTATCTGAAAGCGCGGTAATGAGAGAACCAATACAAAAAGTATGTGTATATTGCTTAAGTCAACCTTTGATGAGAAGAAAGTTAAAACAGTGATTAGATCTGTAAATTTGGTTCGCCCTTCAGAGCACTGGAGGCAACTCTTTCCCACAAAAAATTGACATAGTCTATTAATTTTTGTGTAATTTTCATCAACAAACCTAACTACCTTTTGGTTTTCTGATACGGCGTTCACCGGGATTAACATAGTTGTCCATACCACGTTTTGAAGAAGAAGACGAACCGATCAATGTTGTGTCGCAGTGTGATCCGAGTGAGGCACCACATTTGTTTGGAAGGTCACAGATGTTAGCTATGAAAAAAACAATTACTTCCTATGATGCTGATAGCCGGTGTGAGATCAACTGGTTTTTTGCATTTGATGAGGAAGTTTGAGAAATTAAGCAATCGAGACAAAACAAAAACATGGAAGGAAGAAATGATATTCAATACCAGCACATATTTGTTCACCTCTTCTTATTCGCACGTCACTTATACTGCAAAGGAAGATCTGCTCTCGCTTTTTCTTGGTTTTCTTTTCACTGAAAGCTGTTAAATAGATAGAGATCTAATGAGCCTTGACATTGATACCATTACGATCAAGGATTCAGTTAAACTAAGTCTACAAAAGCTATCTAGTGCAGTATTAAAAGTTAATAACATGTATTAAATAAGGTGAGCCAAGAGATTATAAAATATTTATAAACTCTTGTGTGAGCGTGGAAAAATAAATAGACCGATATGTGAATGGATGTAGGGACGTATTGATGGCGGGGCCGATGGAGGAGAAGGATCAATATCAGTATCTGGGCAACTGCCCACCTCCCCCTTCCTTTAACCCAACAACAGTCAATTGAAAGCAATTTAGGGTTAATGTTGGGTTAGATGAGGGGTATGTGGCCAGCATCAAAACAGATACCGAAAAAGAGAGACAAGGCTGATATGGGTAGTGCAAGATAGATCAGTGGGAACTTACCCTCATTCACGAAGACCAGAACATCACACAATTCCAGCGTTGCTGCTTCTTTGTATTCGAGTGAAATATAAACACATTTTCCCAGCATTGGCTCAGCACAGTCATATCGTCGCAAATAAGTGTTCTTGACTTCAAGACCTGGCGACACAGTGGGTTAGATTCAAAAGCCAGTCTTTCCTAATCACCTGTAATTAAGTTTGAGTTGTGTTGGATTAATTTAAGCACATTTTTTTGGCGAATTTTCAAAAAGGTTCGAACATTGAAGCACAAGGTAATGGAACTTTTTTGTGACATACCGTTTCCCCAATATATCAACCTTGCAAAACTTCAATGCAACGGCATACCGTAGAGCGCGCGGCACATCGATCATCACCATCTGGCGCTCTATCGGAATATTCCAGTTAAGCATATTAAAAGAGCGGACAGCGTTGAAGGCGCGCCTTCATTGGCTACTCAAACTCCGAATATCCTTTGCACCTCCGAGCAACTCATGCGGGATCTGCGTCCGGATGTATTTTAATCGTTGTAGAAATAAAATGTTTAAAATCATCTTTTAGTGCTGTACTACATTAATATTTTAGTTTATACTAAAACAACTATTAACCTCAGTGTCAAGGCTAGTGGGGGATATTAAACTCGCCGCTCGCACCTCGGTAAATATTCGCTACTAACGACCTCCACTTCGGTAAATAGTAGTAAATTATCGTAGAGCGAGCAATGCGTTGCAGCGATATATCGCCGCAGTGACTTTATGTTTGTTTTATAATATGGACGGGTGTGTTTTACCGGGAAATAAAACACTCATAGAATCAATACAACCGGTACATCCGGTTGTATACCGATACATGATACGAGTGGTCCGCTGCAAGGACGTCACATTTTCTGCCTTTTCTAACTCTGCTGATTGAACTTGGTTTTTTCGTTTTTTGGAATAATGACCGCCGCAAGATTTGTTCTGGACGTGTCAACTGTTTTGTTAGGAGAGGAAACTGAAACGGCTTGCTTTTCACATGGTGGTTCTACAGGAAGTTCTTTTCAAATCCACCAGATCGGAAAGGCAAATTTATGTTCGTGCTTCATAGCCTCAAGGTTTTGTAGTGGAAGAGACTAAACATGATATCTGATGATTCAAGTCAGAGTCAGAAATAGAATTTTTATTAAGTTTATTTAAAAGCAGCTCACATGTATTTTGGCCTAATCGAAGGTATTATAAGCAAAACCTCTTTATAATTTGGTATTTTGTTTGTATTAATACCCAGTATTTGTATTAAAAGCCAGGCTTCAATCTCTGTCTTGTATATTCATTGCCATGTTATAGAACAAAATTACAACTTAGCCTGTAGATTTGAATGTGATGTTTTCGTGGCGGGAACAATATCTCATTAGTTCGCAGCACTCACTCGTGAGATTTTGTTCTTGCCACTCGAACATAAAATTCATATCTTCTCGCCACTTCCTAACTTTGGTGAAAAGGTTATAGTGATCTCCTTGCCGGAGCAAAAGAAGCATAAAATAATCACATAAAAGTTTGCACAATCACTCGGGAATTTTCCAAAACATAATATATGGAAGTTATCGAAGCCCACAGATGGATCGTAATTTTTATCACATGACTAGTTTATAAAAAGAAATTCCTTAATTGTTAGCTTGAGCCTTACTTATTCTTATATCAACGTTTGGTAGTCTTCTTCCAGGTCTAATTGCAACAGATACTACCCACGCTCGCATTTCTTAATCAACTCTCCCCATCTGTTTCACCAGATGACGGGTTCGAGAGCAGCTATAAGGATTTTGGTCTACGGCACAACTGGCCAGATAGTGAATTTGAGCGCTGCTTTGAGATGTAGGTCGTTTGCCAGCAATATTAATCCACTTTCCACTAACTAACAGCACAACCTTTTGACTACCTCACACCTTTTGAAATCCTGAGGGAATCTTTTGAAAATCGTTCACGAAAAGATATCTGTCAATGATATACTCTAAACCCTTCATAGTAGCAGATTTTTCGTTGATGAAGCAGAAAATTTGTAAATATTGGTTGATTCTATTTACGCTTTAAAAATTTCAAGAATAGATAATTTATTCCTTATATTTTTATATTTTCTTCATAACATCGTAACCTAAGTGGCCGTATAACTGAAGGTTCGTAATTCATATACAGTGGGGAATTCGTAGGAAAAAAAACATAAACTCACTTTAAAGTGATGAAATATCCATAACCCTAAATGATATGAAGACTTGAACATCATAATTTAAACGTGAAAACACTATACTATGTGACAGTCACATACAGAACAATACCATATCTCCATAATTTTTGGTCGTCACCATTTTATCGTAGAAAAAAAAACCAGAAACTCACTTAAAAGTGATAAAATATCCATAACCCTAGATGATACGAAGACTTGAACATCATAATTTAACGTGAAAACACGATACTATGTGACAGTCACATACAGCACAATACCATATCTCCATAATTTTTGGTCGTCACCATTTTACCGTTCTACAAAATATTGCAGCAAGTCAAGGAACAAAATCCCAACAACGGTATTTCTGCTCATTACAATAAAATCCTGACCCAGAAATTAACTTTCTACCAAAGTTTTCACCTGGCGACTGATCAACGCTTATTCCACTGAAGGCCAGTGTTATGGATTTGTAATAATTTAATGACGCCAACAAGTAATGAATTGAGCATTATCAATTAACTACGCGCGCTCTCTATTAAATTAAAAAAATAGAAGAGTAATGCATTTGACTCGATTATTTCCACTTTAATAATATACATGAAATTACGAGCTTCTGATTGGCTGAAAACGGGTGCATTTGTCGTGTGACACGAGTGCAAATTACAGATAACACGTACTGCCAAGATTCCATCCGTCTTGACTTTTCATGTAAATTATAAACAAGTAACAACACGATTCTCGTGCAACTCGATATAAGTAAGCACAAATAGCACTCGCCCTGGAGGCTTGTACAATTTTGTTGTCTTCGAAAATTTAAATTGCGCTTATCAACAACAAATTGCACACGAAATCATGCTCTTGGCAGGACAAGTCAATAAGCAGGCCTTGAACCGAGGAAACCACAAGCCGGACGTTACCTAAGCAAATTCATCCCACAATTGCAGGGCGACTCAACTTTTTTTTATTAAAAATTAACCCGTGCGGACACAACGTGTCACTTCAATCGTATCTGCGAATTGATGAAAACCACATGAACTGATATCCCTGTGGGCTAACTGCTCAACCTCTCTGACCCTCGTGCCTCGCACGGAAAGTTTCGCTTTCCGGTCATTGTCACTGCATGTCGTGTTTTTAAACTGAAACAACAAGACCGATGCACCGTGCAACTGTTGTGGAGTGAAATGCATTGGAATAAGACTCTTATGCTCCTTGTGTTGGAACCTCTCATTCACCAGTTACCTTTCTTGGGGTTGAAGTGTATTCCATATTATTATGTCGCTATGGAAACTTCTAATAAGCTTTAGAGACTTTCCAGTCGGACCTTAATCTTTATCATAGAGTTTCCAGTTTGTCTCAGATTGTAATCTCACGCACTAAACAGGACACCTCAATAAACAGGCCTGGAACCGAGGAAATTACAAACCGGACGTTACTCATAGTCTATGTCATTCAGAGGTGGGCGAGACGTAGATCGTTTGATATCCGCCATTCGAAGAAGAACACGGTATTATTTTAACTGTTTTTCGCCAGCTTTGGTTGTAATACTTCTAGCACCGGTTTCTACAGCTCTCAAGCCAGTCTTCTTTAAAGTAGGTAGCGAATGAGTTAAATGTTTGTCTCTTTTTGAAGTTGATAACTCACAGCTAATTTGACAATCAGCGAGATGACTTGTTATGTTAGGAATTGAAACATATTTATGTGTTGTTTATCGCATTCTCACGTCCAATCGTTCTGATTACACGCTTCCCTATTTAAGAACGATTTAATTTATCTCTGTTACACATTGAAAGGAAAATTATTTTACAAATAAGTTCGTAACGACAAACACAGTTTCCCGATAGTTAACAGAAATATCATTATACCGACAAAGTTGCTTTGTTACGACGGTTGGAATGTGCCATGTTTTCCTTCTAAGGCTTCGAGAATTACTCAAGTATTTTAAATACTTTCCGTTTCCAAATGATGAGTGTTTAAATGAAGATTTATGACAAACAAGTACAGTCTGACATAATTCAAGACGATAATTCATAAAAATTCAATTAATTTTTTATTCTTCAGTCAACTGGGAAGCTCTTTATTAGCAATAATAATAGATCCAGTTTCCCAAATTTCAGTTATTTCAAATTAATCGCGTTTAAAAGGTTCGGTTTGACAAATATCACACGACCAAAAATTAACAGTATTTTCCAAAGTAAAGCTTGCGCCCTCTTGTACTCTTTCGTAATGACCTCACGGAATAATAATTGATCATTAGACAACAGAGATTAAATACAAGAATACTTCTGAACAAATCTATACTCAAGACAGAAACAGTATGAACTTGTTTTCTCCAGTCGAACGAAAGAAAAAAAACCTTTCGAGCGGCAGTTCAAACACTGTCTTCACTAAACATTTTGCCTGTGGCACGTGGCCGTCTGTAGACATCATGTGAGGTAAAATACTTTGATACATTTGTCACAAGTAAGTCACACCAACCTAGAATTAAGAGCTTGTTCGATGTAATCGTCTTAGTCAAACTTGAAGTGGTTTTCATCATCAGGGCAAATGTCAAACTCTCCTCGTCACTCGTAAATCAGAGTAAAATTTTTAGCTGTTTGCCAGCCGCTTGCCTTGAAAAAATATATATCTAAAAATTCCTCTGGGAAATTGATTTTTCTTCTTCTCTTCCCTAACCATGCTTTAAAATTACGTTATGGAATAAGTGTGTCGTTAAATTTGCATGGATAAAAATCAACATTGCGTGAAGTATTGCTTGTATTGACCCTGGGAAGTGGAGAGTTCAAAATACTGTTGTAAATGGCACAAGTGCTGTTGAGGGTCACACATACTAGTTTCTATCACTGAATTTATTTCGTTGTCTATTGTTAAATATCCAAATGGAAAGGAGGCAGTTTTTAAAACTATCGTGCTTTTCTAATGAGATTAAGAATTGATCGTCTCGCGTGAGGCGATTTAATATATAGACTAAGTCCCTCTTGACCTGTCAATGTTTGCTTTGTCATTCAATGGGGACACTCACAAGGTTATTAATAATCAGAACGAAAACTTATAATTCTAGTTGGTGACCAAGAACGGAAAAAGTTGAGATACATATCAGGTGCGACAGGCATATATATATATCCAATTGCAATACAAATGAATCCTCTGAAGCCGAAATTCTCTTGTTATTATTGGATACAACTGAGCTCCAATAAGACCAAAAAGCCAACTGTTTGACCTTTCGAAATAGAAACATCACGCGATCTGTTTTTTTTTTTTAAGTTTTCCTTCTTGAAGCCGGCCGGAAAATAAACTCTCGATTGACTAATTGCCGAAGAGGTAATCATTGAAAATGGGTGCATCCAACATCAAAAATTTCCACAGGAAATAGCAGTTATAATTCGAACACACAGTTCATCAAAACAACTTTTAAAATACAATATCATTTTTCAGAGAGAAAGAAAAAAACTAAACATGAAATACACCAAGAGCAAAATGAAAAGTGAAATCTTGTCAGTATTTTGTGGAGCCCTAGCAATGTTGAAATAACTAAATTTTTAAAGCACTAGGATAAGAAATAGTATCATCGGTAAGGAAGATATTGTATCTATCTATTCAATATGAAACTGAAATCCTAAAAATTTCTATTTTCGGTTTATTGATAAGTTCAGAGAGTGCCCTTTTCTTATTCTTTTAAAATTTGTTTTGCCTAGGAACAAAGATAGTAGTACAACAAATTAGGGTGTCCTGACTCGACTTTGAAATATCGAATACAGTTTAAAAGGATGCTTTTCAAAGTTTTTCAGCCCTTAACAAAATTTATCATAATCACATCACTGTTCGATATTGACCTTTGTGTCTCATCCAAGTTAAATTTTAGATGCACTTACAACATGCGTAATTGTCTTTCCGCAGATGGCCATCTTGTAGTCTCTTCGAAACGTCAAAATGAATTTAACCTTAGAAGAGTCACTCTTAAGTTATTTTTTAACAATTGAAGATCGATAAAAAAAGAAAGTGGTTTTGTTGGTTTGCAGATTTTGGGGGTCGGTTGCAATTTTTGTCCTTCATTCCAGACCTTGAATGATCAGTTGCATCAGGAATTCCAAGAAAGATACGTATAGGGTTGTTATGTTTAAGTAGAGATTTATAGACTTACCAACTCCTTCTCCCTCAAAAGGTGTTCACTAGCCTGTGTGACTTTCTATCATGTCTGTTCACATTGCCGTGACAACGATATTAACCCTCCTCATCGTTGTGGACATCATCGGTAACTCTCTTGTTTGTATCATCATAACAAGGAATTCTGAAATGAGGTATGTCCAGCTTTTATTAGCAACTTCAGACAATTTGTAATAAAAAGTCAACAAGCCTTTGGTCATAAGCTAATTTATAACCAAAATTACAATGAAGACAGACGCGCTTTCCATTTTGTGAAGTTTGTTCTAGCATTTCTCTTGATTTCATAAACATCCCTGGGAATTGTTTTATTGGCTAGTACTACAGCAGATAAAAGAATACAACAGATCTTGCTACGTATAAAACCTAAGCTTGGCGATGCTCGAAAATCTGATATTCACCGCGTCTCAAGTCTATTTACTGGCTTGATTTCGCCATAAAAACCGGATAAGAGCCGGAATCGGAGAAGATGGCATAAGCTGAGGTCCTAAAAACCCCTGCTGATTATTCCTTTTTTTTCTATGCCACACATTGTAGTGCCTACTGAGAAAAACAATGAGTGAAGTTTGGTACTTTAATGCGGGGAAATTTCTCATTATCGGATAATTTATTCTATGAATGAATTCTTTGGTGAAAAAAGTTGACTGTACTACACGGATTAGCAAATATAGCTAACTTCATTCCGTCTTTCCAGGTCCAATCTGTTCGTGCGCCTATGAAAACCAAACAAACAAACAAACTGAAACGCGTTTTACCCGAAAAAATTCAGCATGAAAGGAGATGTACTAATAACAAATATATTCCACAGGACTCCCATGAATTACCTCCTTGCAAACCTCGCGATTTCAGACATCATGTTCGCCAGTTTTCAAGCTCCAAATCATATCCTGAAAAGAGCCTTTACCCACCCGAAAGGAACTGTTGGCTCAACGTTATGTAAAGTGCTCACTAACGGAAATGTGGCATGGATAGGAGCGGCGGCTTCGGCTGTAACTCTGGTTGCTATAGCAGTTGAACGTTACTTTGCAGTGGCGTGTCCCATTGGTACCCAAAGAAAACTTACCAAACAGAAAGTGAAGGTTAGTTAAGAATTCAGACTAGAAATCGTCTGTCTGGGTGTCACTGAAAAACATTAGGAAGTTAGTTAATGTTGTTCCAAACGGAATCGTTTAATACCCCACAGAAAGCTTGTTCAGGAATTGCTGACATAGCTGTAAGTCCCTGCTTTCAATTCCATTTCC